GAGAGAGAGAGAGAGAGAGAGAGAGAGAGAGAGAGAGAGAGAGAGAGAGAGAGAGAGAGAGAGAGCATCCGATGTGACAACGTCGTCAAAGGAGGGCACAAGTTTGGGGCGTGATGCTCCAAAAAAAGGTGAGCCTGGGCAGAGAAATTTGGGAGTGGGCCGCACGAGTTGTGATCCTGACCGTCATCCACATGGCAGACTTAAGTACAATCTGTAGAGAGATGACGCACGGCCAGAATGCATGCTGCATGTTCGAAAGATGGAAGGAGAGAGTCGGGATGAATGAGTGGATGGTCGGGATGTTTTACAAGGAGATCGGGATAGGCAGATGGACGATCGACTCGACTGCAATGCATGGGGGCTGCATGGGTGCTATGAGGGTCGGCATGGGTGTTAGGTAGGTGAGGATGAGCGGATGGAGGATCGTGACGAGAACGACGGATGAACCAGGGAGTGGCGACAGAAAGATTGATGGCCAACACAAAGAGTGGGAATGGCAGCATGGAGGAGAAGGGAGCTATGTCGTGAGGTTTTCTTGGAAGTAGAGAATCAGGATGGGCAAATGGACGACTGTGATGTTTTATAAGCAAATCTGGATGGGCAGATGAAGGATCTGCATGCACGATATGCGATTGGAATGGCCAAATGGAGGGTTGCATTGGTGCTATGAGGGTCGGCATGGGAGGCAGGAGATGCGAGGAGAACAAGGGATAAGTAGGGGAGTGGTGACAGAGAGGGAGGGGGAGCGTCAAGATAGAGAGAGGGAACGGCGACATGGACAAGGATGGCGCTATGTCGTAAGGCTTTCTCTTTTTTTGTATTTCTGCTTTGTACCCAATAACCGATTTCTCCAACATCTGCGGGGATGTATTGTAAGCAAATCGGCATGGGCAGATGAAAAATCAGTATGGGCGCCATGTGGTTGGGATGTCCAGATGAAGGGTCCCATATGTGTTATGACGATCATCGTGAGGGCTACGTACGCGGCGACGACCGGATGGAGTTTGGTAAGCAGATAGGGAAAGGAACGGAAGTTTGCGATCAAGGACGATGAACCGATAAAGAAGAAGGACACAAGACTGACAAGAGGGGGGATGAACGAAGTAGAAGGACAGAGACACAAGGAGGACGGAGGGAGACGCTGCTTTGACAACAGTTTGTGGAGGAAGGCGGAGGACCCCGTGAGGATGATTTTAGGGGCGATGGAGGAAAGAAGAAGAGAAACAAAAACAAGGACAGGAGAAAAACAAAACAAGGAGAACGATGATACTACCCCGCTCGGTCTCTTCCACATATCTCACCCGCTTGCTCGTTGTGCCTCCCCTTCTCCTCACCTCCTTGGCCCTCCTTCCCCGCCGCCACATTGTCCCTTCGCTCACGGTTAATTGTGCTCTGACTTCTCTTTTTGCGTGGTGTTTTGTTCGTTTTTTCACTGGTTTCAGCACATACTCCAATAACGAGGGTAGCACACATCAACGACCCTGAGGATCGAGTACTCGTTAACTCTGGCCAGGAATCCTTTCAAAACATGTTGCGAGGAATTCTCGAACACGGAGACATGCTTCTCATTGCCGGTGACCTCGGGCAAGTGACTTCCCGGATAAAGTCGCAAAGGCACACACGAAAAAATGTCTGCCCACAATCTTCCCCACTAAAAGAACAACAAAGACATGCAAGACATGCTCCTTTATCGCCATGATTGCAACAGAGAAAAAAAGAATGAGTGAGACGCAAAGAGAGAAACAAAGAGAGAGAGAGAGAGAGAGAGAGAGAGAGAGAAAGAGAGAGAGAG